ACACACACACACACACACACACACACACACACACACACACACACACACATTAAGCTTCTTAGGCTGTAGTAAATAGTCTGTAGCATCAAAAATCAACCATATTTCTCTTTAAAATTAAGATTGAGAATTTTGCATTTTTCTATTCATTAAAATAAGTCTACCGCACTAAACACACTCATTTCACTCAAGTAAGTGACTGAACTGAAAGCGACTTCATAATAACTAGACTGTTATACATACTCTACTATTATTTCGTAGGAGAGCTACTTCTAGGACGTTCATTAAGAGAACAGAAAACGATGACGTCAAACGCTACATCAAACAGAAAAATCAACATCTGATTCAGTTTCCATGATTGTCAGCCATAAACAGCTGGCTCACTTCTGCCAGTGTTTCATGGGCTCTATTCAATTTTAACAATCTTGTCGATTTAAATCAAATATGTGTGTTCTTTTATTTTTTAATGTCAGCATAGAAATAATCGGGCTGTGACAGGCTTACCTGGTGACTCTCTGGTTCATTAGGCACTGCTGCAGCGTGTCAGCCAGTCGCTGATGTACGAGGGAGTAGCGAATAAATGCTCTTCCTTTCCCCAGAGAAGTTTTTAGCTATTAAAGCAAATCAGAGATTATTACACATGGTCCTTAAAAAAACATGTACTGACATTGCCGGGAGTCAAAGACTACAAAGAAAAATATCTTTCTGTTTAGCCTTTCCGAAAACAAAATGAACAACTCTAGTCTCTAAATAACCATACAAAATCTAACTGAAAGACAGGCACAAATAATATAAAACTGACAACAAGAAACACATTAAAAAGCAAACAAAAAAATTCACAATATGTTGTTAATTGAAGCCACTTAAACTACTAAAATGCGTCCTGAGTTTTATATATTTATATATATATACAGAGTACACACAGCAAAAGACTGATCGCCGTTAAATGCAGAACTGACCCCCACAGGAAATCCGTCTTACCTGTTGCAATAAGACTGTACAACTCTTTCTCGCTCTGTAGACGACTTTTTTAGGATTGATATTAATGTAATTTATGTATTTTTACTCAGACTGTGCATTATTATTATTATCGTTATTCATCTGTATGTTATTGAATGTTTTTCCCATTCCCCCATTATATGCTGGTACTCTATTCATTGCACTGACATTATGTCACTTGCATTCATAGTTATTTTATTTTATTCTATTCTTGTATAATCATTTTTCCCCCTCTTGCTGCAGTGAACATGTCTATGACAAAAGAATTTCCCTCGGGATAAACACAGTTTTTAGATTCTTCAGATTCTAAGTAACAAGGCAAAAATTGAAGTATGTAACTAGCATGAATGTTTAAAGGTCTGTCTGATATTGTCACCATGCAAGCAGAACTATGTTACTCTGTTTCCACACGTCTCATTACTGTTTCTCACACCTGGCACAAAATCGTAAATAGTCAGCTTCAGATGGTTGAGATTAATGTGCCGCCTGAGGACACATGACGCCCACTCATTTTCATGACTATTACCTGCTCTATTCTCACTCGGGTGCACTGTAAGGGTTATAGGGGTTTAAGGTCTGACCCGACAGTGCTGGACACCTCAATCTGGTGATGTCTAGGAAAGTTCAGAGCTGCAGTGCATTTGTGGAAAGTGGCTTTAGTGGTGTCATTATTAACAAATCTCACCTCAGTGATGGATTTGACAAAGCGGATACCGTCATTGGCTCCTTTGATCTTAGCCAGGCATTCACTGAAGTAATCCCAGTAGTCTTTCTTTGTGCCAAGAAATGTGGTCTTCTCCTTCTGGTCAAACTGAAAGAAGGTATCAGAAACTGTAAGAAAGAGACATGGCACCCAAACTATCCTGAATTGAAGTCTATATGAGATTTCCACAGCAGCAAAAATGGTGAAAGAAGTATAAAGTTAGGTCCACAGGCTGTAAGACATCTTTTGTGGTTTTGACTGTAAAATCCTGGAATTTTAAATCAAACAATCAAGATGTGATTAAAGTGCAGACTTTCAGCTTTAATTTAAAAGCATTTTATTAACTATTAACAAATTAAAGCCACTTTTATGTATTGTGTGTATAGTTTCCAAGGCTCAAAAGTAATTGAGCGCCTGACTGATAAATAGTTTTACAGCCAGATGAAGCCTGTATTAGACATAAAAGTTCTGGAGTGGATTCAAATTGTTCAACTTTGAAGTCCAAACAGTTGCCAATACATGCGAATGCATTTACCAGCTCAATAACACCAAAAGGCCTGAACGGCCACAGAAGACGACTAAAGCGGATGATGAATGAATTACAAATAAGATAAACACCTTCATAACATCTAAGTAAGTCAGGAGCAATCTCAAACAGGTAGGTGTATCCCTGTCAAAGTCTGCAATCAGAAGATGCCTTTATAAATGTTAATAGAGACCGTTCACAACAAGGAGCAAACCACTAGTTGCACTCAAGAACAGAACAGCTAGATTGGACTTTAACAGAAAACATCTGAAACAGTCTGTCCAGTTCTAGGGAACAGGAAAAAGGTCTTTGTTCAGATGAAACATTTAACTTATACCAGAATAATGGCAAGATGGAGAATGGAGAAAGAAACGAATAGCTCACCATCCAGAGCATACAACATCACATGTCAAACATGGAGGAGGCAGAGTTATGGCATGGCTTTGTATGGTTGCCAGTGGAACCAGGACACTGATGTTTGTTGATGTGATGGCTGACAGAAGGAGCAGAATGAAGGAAAGTGTACAAGGCCATGCTCTATGCTCAGATTCAGCCAAATGCTCCAAAACTGATCAGAGCTTCACAGTACAAGTGGATAATAACCAAAAGGACACTGCAAAAGAAACCCAAGGGTTTCCTCAAGGTCGGGAAATACTCTTCAAAGGTCAAGTCAAGTCATCTGATCTCAACCCAATAGATCAGGGGTGGGGGAACCCAAGGGCCGGTGTCCTGCAGGTTTTAGATGTGTTCTTGATCCAACACAGCTAATTTAAATGGCTAAATGACCTCCTCAGCATGTCCTAAGTTCTCCAGAGGCCTGGCAATGAACTAATCATTTGATTCAGGTGTGTTGACCCAGGGTAGGGCTGTGCGATATGACCAAAATCTCATATCCCGATATAAGAATTCTATCGTCCCGATAACGATATAAATCACAAAAATGTAACATTTTCTGTAAACTCTGTGAATCTCGGGCAGCTCGACTTGCGTGAAGTGTTTCCAGCTGCGCGTCGTGTAGCTGGAGTCGAGTGTTTTAACCGATGCATGAAACGATACATTTTTAGACATAAGTTGTAACGGCCGCCGTTTTCTTTGTGAGTATTTATTACACGGCGTGCTGCGGGGAAAAGCCTGTTCTAACGTTTGAGTCTAAGGTTTATTTTTTAGCACCTGGCGGCTCTTTTTTAATTCTCATTCTAAATACTCTGCATCTTTCACGTGATTCAGTTTATTTTGAAAAGTTTCAACAGGATCTTGAGCTTTATTGTGAAAGGCTTATGTGGAACATAAACAAGCGGACACGCGATGCTGTTACGTCGTTGTTGCTAACCACAACATAAAAACAGGCGCTTGTCCGTCTGTAGTGTGGTTATATAAAATATAAGAGAAAGAGAGAACTTTAAGAAATTAATATAAACACTACAGTGACCATCAAAACGATGAAAAAATATTGCAGTAAACAGTTTATTTTGTGACACCACGAAACAAACGATAGCGTAAAATGAAACGATAGACTTTTTATATCGTCATCCGATATATATCGTTATATCGAACAGCCCTAACCCAGGGTGAGATCTAAAACCTGCAGGACACCGGCCTTTGAGGCCTGGAGTTCCCAACCCCTGAAATAGAGCATGCAATATCCAACTGAAGACAAAACTGAAGGCAGAGAAATCCACAAACGTCAACAACTGTGGGATAGCTGCAATAAAAGCTTAGAAGAGCTTCTGAAGGGAGGAATCACAGCTTTTAGTGATGTCCATGAGTTCTAGACTTTAGGCAGGGAAAGCATGATCAGAATACAAACAATCCTTATATTTAAAATTATGTTAGTCTGTCCAGTTAATTTTAAGCTTCTGAAAATGGGGTCTATGATGTATGATAAACAGTTAATGCAAATTTTCCGTTAAATCCCATAAATTAAAGGTGAAAGGTTGCACTTCAAGAAATACAGAGATGGAAAATTACAAAAAGTTGTCACTGTCAAAAAACCCTTTGGACCTAAACTTCCTGTTGAAGAAGACTTTTTCTTTAATATATAGATATATTTTATATCAAGGCAGCAGAATTTTTTTAGCGTTTTTGACTCTTGATTCAATTTAGTGCCTGGAGAAGTCAAACGGGAAGGTAAGTATTTACAGACACTAGTTAAGGACAAATAAGATCATTGAGTAATGTGTCATGTAAAATGCTGTGTTTCTCCAGTTAATTAGCTTCCTGTCCATTTTTTAAATTTTCTTATTATGTTTCATCTAAGAAACTACGTGTTGTTCCTTAGCTAGCTGTGTAACCTCACCTGCAGCAGGTACTCCAGTTTGTTGGCAAATTTCTGGAGATTGGTGCTGTCATCTGTGATTGGCTCCCCAGTTTCTCTGTATTCCTTTGCAAGCTCTGCAACAGACTCTGAAATAGACACAAAAATAATTCCAAACCGATCACTGGCAAAGCAGGTAGATTATGTTGGAAAACTGGGAACTGTTCATACATTTTATATAAAGTAAACTTAAAAACAGAAAGAAGCAGCATGTCTTCATTCAGCTAATTTATTAATTAAGACAGGAAGCTGAGTGAATGCAAAGTGTACATTTTGGTAACACACAAACTCAAATAGTCCTGGTACCTATAACTCTAACCACTTCTACTGTCACGCTCTTCCAGTAAAGCTGATTTTTACATAAAAACTTGCCTCTTATCCATCGTAAAAACTGGAAAGACACCCGTGATGGATGCACTCTGAGCACGCATTCTCTGTCTCGCTGCATGCTGACAGAGGCTGCCACCACACCCTTACAACACAAACATGAGGTCAGATGCCTGTGCTTCCAAATGGTTTGTTGGCAAGGGTCAGTCAGTCTCCCTCTGCTAAACTGTACTCAGACTTGACTCTATGGCAGACATCCTGAAATCACAGCTTGCTAACTCTCTTTCTCTTCTTCTCAGTCAGGCCATGTCAGTTAACAACTGACGTCTGCCAGTGTAATTGCACACACACACACATTCAAACACACACACACACAAAGCTGACAAACCATGCAAATCTCGGATAATCCTCTGGAGCTGGTTCTCCTCGACCCTAGTCCCCGCAGCCATGGCCCCACCTCTCGCTCCCTGGCAACCAGGGGTCACAGGGTCGTATAAAGTCTGCTGAATCAGAAAATCAGAACCAGTTAGGAACAAAAGGAGGATCATGGCTCCCTCTTTATTCTCTTATGGCCACATATGATCCACACAAACGTGTGTGAGGATGAGAACACTTCTCAACATCTTTGCGGCAAATGCAGTTTAGGCCAGAAATTCAATCTAACAGAGGTACAATAGTTTGTGACAGAGCACAGTATATACTGTGGATATCAGATTTCAACAAAAGGCTAAACATAAATACATCCTCATAGGTCTCTACTACAAAGCAAGTTTAATGCGCGGACGGTATCTTTCTGTTATCTGGATTCACTTCTCCTAACATTATCAATCAGGATAAGCAGGTTATTAATTCACTAAGTTAGCTCATCTAATCAGTTACAACTGCTGATAAGTGTACTGGCAACAGAGCTGCTGATTATTAAAAGTAAGATGAAACTGTACTATGAGAAAATACATTGTGGTTAACACACAGCACAGACTGAAAGAATAAAAGAAAAGAGGTGCTATATTAATAACATTTAACCTAGTTGAAGTCAGGAAAGATTGTTGACTGTGCAAGTTAACAGTCTTATTAAAATCAGGTTTCTGTCATTACAGACAGGAGAATCTGATGGATCATAACTGAGTATTTTATTAAATTATTTTTCAAAGTACAGTTTTAGTTCTTATTCTTTAACCTACAGCCTCGGTGGTGTTTAACAGTCTGAGAGTAAAAAATAAATATATTTTAAAAATTCAAGCATATGTTCAGGCTATCTGCAAATTTGGTCAGCAAGTTCAAACAGCTGCTCTGTTTTAGGATCATAGTTAAGGCTTACAGAAAAATCACATTGTTTTTTTCAAATTGTTTGAAGCCATCAGGTTAAAAAAAAATCAAACACAAAAACTTTATAAGCTATAAACAAACTTCAGAGCCTCTTACAATCGGAGGTCAGAGGTCAGAGGAACCGTCCAGCAGTAGTGAAGTTACCTGAATAAAAAAAAAACCCTATTTTATACTGCAGGCCTCAGATAATTGAAACAGTAAAAAGGCACAAACATTTGAAGGATCAACTGTAAAGGCAAGATTGTTGCTCACACACAGAGTGAACCTCGTTGGGGTGGATGCTGGAAAACGACGCATATCGGCTTATAGTATTTATTAAAATTGTTGAGCTGTACATAAATACATGAAAACCACAACCAAAGGAAGTTAATACATAACGTGATAATCCTGTCAGGGGTATTAGTTACAGCAGGCATTTCGTAATTGGTTTGTAATTAGTATTGTACGTGTCTAAAACTTGGGAATGTAACACCCATTATGATAGCACGACGAGCATTTGTGGTGTCGTCAACGTACGTTTTGGTTTAACGTTACATTTGTATGCTACCTGACCAGGTAATGTGAGTCTCCTGGTAACAACGCTCAAAACGCTGGTAACAGCTGTAACTAACTCTTCACTATCGCGTCTCCAAACCCCTTATAACCACACCGTAGGACACACAGCTGATATATGAAACTCTTAATCACGTTCCTTTGTGTTTTTGTCACGGTGACGTTACTTTCGCTTCGACACATTTAACGGGTATTTTAAAAATAACCCTGACATCAGCGGGAAAAGCGAACTTAAATAATCTGACATGTTTCTACATAGCTGCTTAATAAAAATAACAAAAGAACAACAACTTTAACATACTTTTAGTGGTTCAACTCAACCCATAACAACCAACACAGAGCGTTTAATGCGTCCACACAATCTTGTTAGGAGTGTCCTGATTGACAGGAAGTCACCCCATTGAGAAAGCGACATTCGATCTCCCCACCAATCACTGCGGGGCTTGTAGGCGGGCTCTAGATAAGCACTGGATAGTTTGTTTGCCTAGCAAACAGTGTGGTCATGTGACCTAGTGTCCCTAGTTCCACGAGTGTCCCACTTTACTTGTCCTTTACTTGTCAGCAGAGCAGCTTTGTGATTAGAAAAAGTTTGGTAGATTATTATACTCTACAAATCTGCCCAGAAAAATAATAATCTTTGCAATCAGCACTGCAACGTCTCTCGATCAATGTTTGATTCATTTTTATTTGTTTTTAAATATGTACCATTGTTTTTATATTTTATATTTATATATTTATTACTTCTATTTAAACCTTGCACTGAGTTTTTTCTATATGTTTTAGTCTGAGCTTGTGCATCGTAATTTCATCCTGCATTGCGTCCTTGAGGTTGTGCTGAATGACAATGAAATGACTCTTGAATCTAATAGCATGAATCAATATGAATGTCCTTCGGAAAGCTTGTAATTTTTCAATATACATTTCATTCTAATTCATGAGTGATTTCTGAAATAAATTTTCAAAAATTGGAAAGCCATTATTTGTTAATAATTTGGTGTGCCACAGAACAGATATTGTGACATCTAATGTGGATTTCTGTTTCTAGCATTTACACCCTATTTTTTAAACCTTTACAGCTTCCACAGGAGCACAAATAATTAGAAACACATTTTGGTGATATCACTATAGTTGAGGTAAAACAAAAAACAAACAAAAAAACCCTGAAGATTCTGGTTTGTCTCTCTATTTATGGCTGTGAATGCAAAATTTGGATTTTCTGTTCTTTGAGAAGCCAGAGAACTTGCTTTAATTTTACTACTTTCAAGAAGTGCCTGAACATTGAAGTGAAAGTTAAGTGAGTATCAATTCTCATTTCTAAAAGTGTTGTTTTGTCGCAGTTCGCGAGGCAAGCCGTATGGAATTATTAAAGGACCCAAGATGCGGCACAACTGAGGTGAGGAAGCTTTATTTAAGGGACGTGGTAAAACAACAAAGGCGGGGGTGGCGAAACACAGAACTGAGTTAAACCTAAACTGGGAAAACTAAAACTTAAACAACAAAACCTGAACACGAGTGAGGGTAACTTGAAGGGAGAATTCACAGGATGACAAAGGGAGAAACGCCAACCAATCAAAATCCTGCTCATGTGGTCCTGTCATTGTTATTTGCTATTTTCACTGTAGAGCATGCGCAAAAGTGTAAGTGTATGTGTGTGCGTGTCCATAGTTCAGCTGAGACAGTGTCCTTCGGCCTATCAGGCTAAGTAAACAGTCCTCCAGCCAATCCAGGTGTCCTTGCATGGGATGGGAAGAATAGCCGTAACACAGTCGTTATCAGGGAGTGATTGTTCGGCTCCAGCCTTGGGCCTGCAGCTGGCGCCGTGATGGGGATCCGCAATGTTCATGTTGATTTTGCTAATTTCCATGCGAGCAGCCCAGGAGAATTTTCAGGCTGCTCTTTAACACTCCGACGCTGGTCTCTCAATCTCCCGTTGGAGAGATACATTTCCTCCCCCACTGGGTAGGTCAGATCTTAAACTAATTCACCTCACCCCCCCCCCCCCCCCCCCCCCCCCCCCCCCCCACTGATGAGTCTTTTATATCAAAGCTTTTATTAGTACTACAGGGCTGTTTTGAGGTGACTGGGAGATACTCTGTCAACACATGGGAGCACTCTGTGAGGACATCAATGGGTTTACTGAGTGTATCACTGACTACATAACCTTCTCCTCCAACATCATTGTCCCAGCTCAGAGTGTCCATTGTTACCCAAATAACAAGCAGTGGGTTAACATGGAAAGCACTCTGCAATGACAAGAAGAGGGCCTCCAGAGCAGGTAATGGAGAGAAGCTGAGAATGGTTCAGGCATTATTATAAGGCAAGATCAGAGAGGCTAAGGGCAATTACAGGAGAAAGCTGGAGTGTAAACTCCACCAGAAGAGCATGAGAGAGGTGGGGAGTGGCACAAAGACAATCACTGGATTCGGGCCATCTAACAGCGGAGGAGGCCAGAACTAATGAGCTGAATGTGTTTTTCAGCAGATTCAAAACCACAGTGAATGCTCACCCCCCTACTGATTTACCTGTAGTCAGCCTGCAATACAGCCACACTACTCTCCCCTTTCCAATGCACCTAGCCTTGTAAAAGTATTGACATTGTCCCCTCCTTCATTCGACTATAGCATTCTTTTAGCTCTCAGCGAAGGCGGTCGCACTTTTCTCCTCTCCTCCTCACCCTTATCTTCCCTGCTTAGCCTCTATGTCCTTGTCTTGTCTCGTGTGCATTACTTTCCCTGGAATAGCCTCCCACTGTCGTTCTCTAAAACCTAAAAGAGAATTATGGATTTGATCAACTGGTCTCTGAATGCTATTGACACCCTTTTCTCAACGAGAAGTCTGGGCTCGGGAGAGCCCGAGTGCCCTGGAGGGACTTTCCCTGCCGGATACACGATGGACGGGTGGCAGAACTGGAGGATCATGTGCCTGGCGGGACTGTCGATCGAGGACGCTGAAGATATCTATCTATTCGGAACCATGATAACAGGGTTCATGCTGATCGGAGTTGGCTTAGCCCTGGTTTATCGGAGAAATAAGAGAGCGGAACCGGCTGTTCAAACCCCCCCAAGGCTGCCCGCTGGAATCGCAATGGAACGAGGCGCAACCTCTCACAACGAACGTAATATGGTCAACACCTTGGAGACGCTTACAGCTGCTGTGAAGGCTCAAAACAACACCATTGAGCGTATGGGGGGATACATCAGAGAGAGGCCTGCTCAAAATGAGACCCTTGAGCGACAGTTGGAATACATCGCGGAACGGATCACTGCAGTTGTGAGGTCTCAGAATCAAAAGAATGATAACACCATGGAACAGAAGTTTGATACCATCATGGGGAGGCTCGCGACTCTCCAACGGGAGATTGAGAGACCAGCGTCGGAGTGTTAAAGAGCAGCCTGAAAATTCTCCTGGGCTGCTCGCATGGAAATTAACAAAATCAACATGAACATTGCGGATCCCCATCACGGCGCCAGCTGCAGGCCCAAGGCTGGAGCCGAACAATCACTCCCTGATAACGACTGTGTTACGGCTATTCTTCCCATCCCATGCAAGGACACCTGGATTGGCTGGAGGACTGTTTACTTAGCCTGATAGGCCGAAGGACACTGTCTCAGCTGAACTATGGACACGCACACACATACACTTACACTTTTGCGCATGCTCTACAGTGAAAATAGCAAATAACAATGACAGGACCACATGAGCAGGATTTTGATTGGTTGGCGTTTCTCCCTTTGTCATCCTGTGAATTCTCCCTTCAAGTTACCCTCACTCGTGTTCAGGTTTTGTTGTTTAAGTTTTAGTTTTCCCAGTTTAGGTTTAACTCAGTTCTGTGTTTCGCCACCCCCGCCTTTGTTGTTTTACCACGTCCCTTAAATAAAGCTTCCTCACCTCAGTTGTGCCGCATCTTGGGTCCTTTAATAATTCCATACGGCTCGCCTCGCGAACTGCGACAAAACAACACTTTTAGAAATGAGAATTGATACTCACTTAACTTTCACTTCAATGTTCAGGCACTTCTTGAAAGTAGTAAAATTAAAGCAAGTTCTCTGGCTTCTCAAAGAACAGAAAATCCAAATTTTGCATTCACAGCCATAAATAGAGAGACAAACCAGAATCTTCAGGGTTTTTTTGTTTGTTTTTTGTTTTACCTCAACTATAGTGATATCACCAAAATGTGTTTCTAATTATTTGTGCTCCTGTGGAAGCTGTAAAGGTTTAAAAAATAGGGTGTAAATGCTAGAAACAGAAATCCACATTAGATGTCACAATATCTGTTCTGTGGCACACCAAATTATTAACAAATAATGGCTTTCCAATTTTTGAAAATTTATTTCAGAAATCACTCATGAATTAGAATGAAATGTATATTGAAAAATTACAAGCTTTCCGAAGGACATTCATATTGATTCATGCTATTAGATTCAAGAGTCATTTCATTGTCATTCAGCACAACCTCAAGGACGCAATGCAGGATGAAATTACGATGCACAAGCTCAGACTAAAACATATAGAAAAAACTCAGTGCAAGGTTTAAATAGAAGTAATAAATATATAAATATAAAATATAAAAACAATGGTACATATTTAAAAACAAATAAAAATGAATCAAACATTGATCGAGAGACGTTGCAGTGCTGATTGCAAAGATTATTATTTTTCTGGGCAGATTTGTAGAGTATAATAATCTACCAAACTTTTTCTAATCACAAAGCTGCTCTGCTGACAAGTAAAGGACAAGTAAAGTGGGACACTCGTGGAACTAGGGACACTAGGTCACATGACCACACTGTTTGCTAGGCAAACAAACTATCCAGTGCTTATCTAGAGCCCGCCTACAAGCCCCGCAGTGATTGGTGGGGAGATCGAATGTCGCTTTCTCAATGGGGTGACTTCCTGTCAATCAGGACACTCCTAACAAGATTGTGTGGACGCATTAAACGCTCTGTGTTGGTTGTTATGGGTTGAGTTGAACCACTAAAGGT